CGGGTCGCGCGTTTACGGACCGGACAAGGGCGACCGCTCATTCCCGATGCTGCTCACACCCCGGCTCGGCCACGGCAAGGTGGTAAATATTCCTTACGCCCTCCGTCCATCACCGGACATCACGGTTGAGAAAGAGGGAGGGGGGTTGCCTAACGCCCACTTGGCCTCTTGTCACCCGCCTGTATTCTAATCATCACACCCCTCGTTGACTCCGCCTGGGTGCCAAATCCGCGGTGAAATGGACAGATGGACAACGTAGGCAATTTTGAGCACCATATTTGGACGTATTTATACTAAATGGAACTAAGTGCAAAAGGAAAGATGAGGTATTAGGGTGCGGCTTATTTTTGTTATGTAGGAAAATCGACGAGGCCCGGGTGGCAATCGATGCTATCTATGGAAATAATAGGCTGCATAAAATTTGAGCCAATTTGAAGCTGCTTCAGCTGATGCTCAAATGGATCAAAACTACGGGCAAAATTGAATTGGTTTAATGGGCGGAAAAACGCCTGATCTGCGATACGATAATACGTTTTTCGGATCTATAATGCGCGTAGTTTTGATCTGTTTGAGCATTAGCTAAAAAAGCTTCAAATTGGTTCTTTTATGCAGCCTATTATTTTCATAGATAGCATCGATTGCCACCCGGACCTCGTCAATTTTCCTACATGACTAAAATAAGCCGCACCTTAATGGGGTATGCTCGTAGTGAGCTGGATAAGAAACAATGTAAAAGTGAATATAGTTCCTATTGAGAAACTGGAAAAGCGGGATTTGACATTAAATTTAAAGGAACTGAGCGCTGACTCGTGAGCCGTGCACATGTGACATGAACCTTGTGGACAGGGCTCAAGAGTTAAAGCCTAGCGAGAACGATAAAAAAGACGGTTTCATTGCCGCTGACGTCACTGGCGCTTTAATATCCTCATTCATTCTTTTAGCCCGAACACTAACGAGCGCACCCCATCTTTCCACTTGCACATAATTTCATATAGCTTGAGGCGTCTATTTCATGTTTTCTCATGAAGTTCGTCAAAACAGTCGTTTCAACAAGCGCTTGTAACTTAGCTGGTGTATCTTGGCCTTCACTGCCGCTCATCATGCCGAAATGACAGCCAATCGGAAACCCTCTTACATGGCTTCGCAGCTTGCACGTGCAACCGATAGGAATATTTTCAAACAGCGATCTGATCCAAGCAAATTGGTAGCTACGTAAATATTAGAGAGCTTTAGCAGGACATAAAGGGTCATAATAGATTTTCTAGGCATCTTCAAAGGCATTAATAATGCCTTTGTTCTTGGCATTAATTAAAAAACTATTACCAGCACTCTAAACGGTCTCCACGTTTAATTATCACGATGAGAAAATACAACCACGTTCCTGCCACGGAGAGGCTTAAAAAATAACCCAGGATGCAATAGGGCTAGCATCTAGATCTACCGGCCGCCTGGCGGCGTATTCTAATGAGCCTGCTATAGCATAGCGCGCTCAATTAACATACAGGGTTATTCAAAAGTCACGCACCACTGGCCATGAGGGGGGTGGCCATTTGATATTAGCGGCTCTGGTGCTTGCACTAGAGCTGCTATTCCGGACGGTCCCAGCTGGGGAGTATCATTGGACCATGTTACATTGGAGAGACCGCGCGTTGGTTGATGGGAATCGGCGCCATTTTCTGCTGTTTAGGGGGGACTGATTTTATTTTAATTGATATCTTTTTCCTGTGAGCAAATGCTATGTTGTGTAGTGTATTTTTAGAATCATGGTGATACTGTCAATAATTCAAAACGGTTCTGTGCTTTAATCTCGCACTGGAAAAAATGTACTTTACGTTTAAAATTTGAAAATTCAAATCTATAAGTTTTCGCGCTTTTTTCGAAGAATGCTGTGGTTGGAGCTTCCTAGTCATACTACTCGACATCAGCTGATAGCAAACAAAGGTTACCAAGGAAACCGTAAACGCGTAACAACTACCGTCGCCAGAGCCGCTTTCCGACGCGAATGCGTTGGAGCTTCCTGCTTGTTTTTGAGTTGCCCCCCGCCACCCTCCCCCGAGGGTTAAAAAACTGGAAAATACCTAAACAATTTTGCCCCTCAATATGAAGAGAAACGTCGTAAACCGCAAATCGATACCACATTTAGAGCTAAAGTTATGGCCAGTGGTGCGTGACTTTTGAATAACCCTGTATGATAGTGGTGACTGAAATGACTGTTGAAACCGAAAATGTTTTGCCATGTGCAACCCTTATTGTCACTGTGCAGTGTGACAACCTCCGTCCTATTTTTAAGCCTATCAATGGGTTGAATTTGATAAATTACTGAAGTAGACTTTGGAATTATGTAATTATAGGCAGCCATTATTGTATCTTTGAGAGTCATTTATAGAATTAAAAGTAACGTCGGGACAAAACTGGCGTCGGCATAAAGTTTCTCGCCAAACTGCACGTGACACAAGTTAGTTGAATTGCGAATCACAGGACCTCTCAGGAGCTATTTTTAGACTCCTTTCTCTAGTCCATCGCTTCAGCGCCAAAAAACTCTAAAGAGTGTCGCGCGACATTGCCAAAGATCTACATCTTTCTACTTTTCTACTTTATTTTTCTACTTTTCTCGCAAACGCGCGTCGAATAAATGTTATTTCCACGAGGCTGGCAACCTCGGAAGGCGTTGAATAAAAGATCAAATCTGATCCATTCTCCAGATGAGTTTAACTTGCATGTAAGTATGCGCATCATCTATTTTTCGGGGTACGCACGCGAAGTGGAAAGTGCTCGGAGGACAGTGTTGTGAAACGATAAGAAATCTCTTATTTTTTTCGGATTGATATTAAAATATTTGACCCTCGGAGTAAATGGCAACAATGCAAAGCTGTTAAGCTTTCCTGCTTTCTTTTCCTGAGATGATCCCCGCCATCATTATTGTAAACTCATCGCCAAAGTCAGCTGTTCTAGAAAGGCGTAACTCAATTTTCTGATGAGCTCTGAAACGCGAGGATGTTCACTCTCAACACGGCTTAACTACAGATTTAGTTATGTCCTTTCGCCTGAAGAGCGGCTTTTGCGTCGGGGAAGTTGCGTGAGGAAGAATAGAGTCAACGTGATTTCTTTTTGTTTGTTTTGTGAAGGATTTTTCCCGCCGGGAAGCAGTGCCTCCATCTTTGAACTTGAGATGGAGGCGTTTTAATTAAGAAGATAGAGCACGCTCTTTTTCGGAACATCTTTGAAATAACGCCCGGCTGAGCAGGTAAGTAAACCTTGATGTGCCCTCTTTATCGGGAGTTTGGAGCATGGATTTTCCTCGCGATGATCTGAGCACATTCACTGATGGCATCATAGGTCATGTATGAAGTGAAATATATTTTTAAACTTTATAAGCATCTTTTCAGTTGCTCCCCTAACTTCCTTCAAAATTTCATTTTTGCAACATTCTTTTTCATTTCTTTTCGCTACTTTCAGAATTGGACAATTTTTATTTTTATTTTATTAAACAGGGTTGCCGTGATTTCAGTTTTAGAGTCCTCAAACAAGGTGGCAGCCCTGTCAATGTATTTGCTCCCTATCTTTGCATGGAGAGTTTGTCTTGATGTAGAGGTGGACTCTCAGGATAGCGTAGGATATCCTCTCCATTTTGGCCTCAACTTGCGGGCTTTTTTTGAGCTTGGGAGTTGATTTCAGAGAAAACCAGTGGCACCATCGTGTTTCTCGTGAACTTTTACATAAGAATCAACAGTCAAATCGCAAATTCCTCTTACATGCAACACCTCCATTCACCATCGCATGAAATTTTCGTGTTTCGGTTGATTTCCCCTAAATACGTCTTTATCAGCCTTGCGGAGCCTGATGCGAGATTCTCGCAGCGAGAAATATGATGCTTCCTGCATTAATCACTCGACAATCCTTTTCCAAATCCGTTCGATTCTTTAGCCCACGCACCAGGGTCAAATCCAGAACAAAGTTGCCAGATTGTGCGATTAAATGAAGATATTTTACATGGGTTTAAAGGGGGGAAGTGCTGAAATTTGAGGACTATCTGGGAACCATGATCCAGAACCAGATCTACGATTCGCAGTATTCATGGCTCTTCATCAAGACTTAACACTATCGCAAGCTTTTGATATAAGCTGCGGTGGTCTTTTCGTGGGAGCTTACATCCGAATCCGACCGCACGAGCCTTTTCGTGGAGGAAGTAATCTTCAGATAGGAAAAAGGAAAAAGGCTAAGCCGCTTGAGTTCTACTCGCCAGAAGAGCAGCGCGGATTCAGAGGGAACCTTTTCCCCGCTGCAACATCTGTCAGGAAAATAACACATCTTCACGAGAGGGATACCATTAAATTTTTGAGAAATCTCAAATGGCTATTCACACTGATTCTCATTGAAAATTGGGCAATAGGAATGGTACCGTCGAGTTAGACATTATGTTGGAGTTTTTTTGCCGACGTGCCAAAAGCTGAAAATCTCAATATAGAGGGAAAAAGCTCATACGAGCAAAATTTTCCTCTTGAAATTTCCTTTTAGAAGCACCCCTTAAAATTTAAAATGTGATGACTTAAACATTAAAATTCGCATTTTTTGTTAAAAATGTCATGTCCGACCTCTCTAAGTGACTATGTCCACTGTGCGGCACTCACGAGTCGTGGGCATGGCAAAAGAGCGTCGAGAGCAAGGGCTCATGAGTTAAAGCAGGGAACGGGCGACCGTTTCGGTGACTTCGCCGCCGCTGACGTCACTGGCGCTTTATAATTCCCATTTATTCTAACGACCCTCAACTAAAGAGCACACTCCTTCTTTTCCTCCGGTCTCTGATGTCCTGTCTCTGGTATTCAAATGGAATGAAATAATACCGTGCCAGAAAATTGGAGAGGAAAAGGCAGATCTGAGAATATTTTCACGAATGCGAGGGTAATTTTATGTAAGTAGTGTCCTTATTCAAATTTTATTTTGATGGAAGTTGTGATGCAAATAGAAAAATAGTTTTTGACTGATAATATGAAAGGACTTACCATCTCGCGTGGACGATATGAATATTTTAACGACCCGAGGGATCGCTAAACTTGCGGTGTGGAGCTCTCCCTGGAAAACGGTTTGCACGAGTTCCTCGTTGTTCATCCTTCCGTCTCGCTTAAACTTTTCGTAAAAAGAACGTCATTGTACCGTCTGCCTAAAACACACAAAAAAGAATAGTACAGTTACAAATTGCAATACGTCTCGCAACGTTTACATTATTCTCTACAGAGGTTTCGTTGCTTTTACTGCATTTCCGGACGCGAATAGGATACACTTGATGACACCCTTGAGGTTTTTTTAAACGAACCTAGTTCAATGAAAACTCAACAAGTAGCATTTTGGAAGAAAATGGGTTGGGGGTGATTTTGCAATGACTCGTCTCACATTTTTTCCCGTCAAAATTCAAATACTGGAACACAAGAATAACGCTTTCACTTATTTTCAAAATTTGACTCAAGTTGGCTGAAGGAAAGGGCTGAATGCTGAACGCGAAGGATGAAGATAAAAGCGGACAGTAAAGTAAAGATAAAAGAGAATGTTGTAACCAAGGCTTCAAAACGCGTTCCTGTTCGAAATTCGTTATGCTAGTAAGTACAAAATGTTATATTTTCTACAGTTAACACACAATTATTTGCCACAGCTGTGCGTATGATTCTGTGTGTGTCATTTTAACCGCTCTTCAAATTTTTTTGACTCATTACAGTCTTAACAAACACCCGAACACACAATAACCACATCAACCATCTACGGCTCTTTTCTCACAAAAGAATTATTAATTATCACACGTCAAGAAAGGCCCAGGTTACTTTTTTTAATTTAAAAAGTAAAAGTATAAAACTGATAACAAGGATTGCGCAGTAGGGCACATGGAGAAAGTCACCCTCGCTCCCAACTTACAATAAAATTTCCTTCCTCTGGCTGGGCTCAATCCGGAGGCACCATTGCAGTGATGCATCGTCAAGTTTAAAAAGGAACATGTTACCGTGTTCAGTCCAAATGAAAATGTTAAATTTCCTTGCTGAATCTGGCAAACAAGTCTATTAGACGTCGTTTTTTCCACTTTTGTGGTTCAGGTGTATTAGGTCCCTTCCCTTAAATGAATAATAAAAAGATATGTCTGCTTCAAAAAGTCGTCACGACAAACACTCAAAAAAGGAGCGACGTGTATGACTTTAAAAAGTCGTCATGGCATCATTTAGAACACGTTACATAATTAGGAATAGGAACAGCCTTTTTATACAGAGGAAGTAGCAAGCAAGGACGAAAGGAGTGAACAAAAATTTGCAGCAAAGCAGTGTACCAGTACTATCAATGAACATAAAAGATCATCTTTGTGACATTTTTATAAAACTACTTTTACAGCGCACGTTTAAGCAGATGCATATTATTGTCAGATATGCCTTTGTATTGCCTTTGTAGTATGAACGAATAATTGAAGATGCTCAGTTATTTTGGAACCTCGCAATACTGCCCGCCGCTCCGCAGCTGGTGCGGCGGTGAGCGTCTAGGAAGTCAAAACGCCTTCACTTACGTGCGTATGCAACGCGGACATCCGCAGAGCTCGAATAGTTGTATCAAGGCGTTATAATGAAATCCAGTCAGTGTTCGTCGCAGGCGCCACTAACTGAGGTCACTTCGCTTGTTTTTTACACCTTCATTTAAGGTCAGCTTTGCCTTTATGCCGACGAAGTAAACTTTTTACTAATTTCAATTACAATGTTGTCGATTTTTCGAAAAATGGATTGATTGTTGAGATGTATTACGTTCCTTATATCAAAAAATATTTTGTATCCTAGCATTATTTGTAGAGCTCCCTTAAACTTACATTCACGAGTTGTCCTTTGTTTCCATTTATTTCCATTTTTCTTGAGGGAAAAAGGAATGTTAGTAAATGTGTTTGTGAAAATTATAGAAAATATCGCTCTTTTTCTCTTGAAATCTAGCTACACTTACTGTGCTAAGAACGACGAGTGCGGCTGGGTCGTTTTTGATAACTTCAGGAAACATGTTCAAGCACGTCACCCAATATTTCTGTTTTTGTGAAAGACAAAAAAAAAAAAAAACGAGGCAAGACCCAAGGCTTTTAAAAAAAATGGCTTCCGTTTACCATGTTGGCACCATATTGGTCACTTTTGGGCAATGCGACTGATGTGGTATCTCGTTGATACCATATTGGCGTCAATTTTTTATTTTTTTTTTTCTATTAAATTAAAAATGTTCAATTTAATAAAAAAAGAAAAGAAAAGAAAAAAAAGAAAACGTCGTCAACTTAGTACCACATTTCGCTCACCAATATAGTCGTTTTCATCAAATATGATGTACGGGATCCAGCGTATCCTGTGAAGAATCTCACGAAACGTAAGCGGGAGACTCGCAGCTTGGGTTTGTTTTGTTAGAGTCTCATTTATTATGAATCACTTTCGCTCCGAAATTCAAGGCTAATTCGTCATTCAACGCTAGCCTTTTATTTGCCTCCACGCTTCGCTCGGCTTTTATTTATTTTTCCGAGAAACGCTCAGCTCGACCGGTATAATCGCGTAATTGCCATGAAAACCTTACGTAAACTCGCTGTTTTGCTGCTCACCGCGCCTGACAAAAGCACACCGCTTTCCCCTCTCAAGCAGACGAGTCCATTTAATTCGTTGAAACTTTGTCTCCAGATTTCATTCACGTATCTCTGAGGTGAATATACTCGAACTTGTTCCCTTTTTTCCTCGTGTGACTTCATCTTAAAGGACTGGTATACTGCCATGCTAATTTCACCCATCTGTGAATTTCGGTGATTTTTGTGGCACGTTTAAGTGCATATGAAAGTACAAGGCATTAAAATATACATTGGTGCATGCAACATGCAGGTAAGTCAACTTGTAGCAACACCAATTTTAACATCATGTTGTGGTTGCAGTGTATTTTTGAGAATTTTACATATAAGTGATGCCCTGAAGATGGCGCGAGTCTCCAAAATGCAGATCGGTGTGTATAATTAGCTAATAAATTTGCATACATTTACGCACACCTCCTTTATAGTGTTAATATTTCTTGGTTGGCGCCTCGCTTAGCCTTTTCTCCTATAAGTACTGCCTTGCCAAGGAAAAACACCGTATGAACTTTCGTACGTTGCCAAATTTTCTTTGATAAAACACGAATTTTAAGAAAAACTTGTGACAATTTTTAATCCAATTTTTTAGAGCAATATATTCTCAATGGAGAATTTGCACGCAATTTTTTATTGCTTCATCTGAAAGTGCTTAAAGATCTGATATCGCAGTATTTTTTGTAATTTTGTTCTGTAATGGGAAATAGTCTAAAAATTGGTTTCAAAGTGAGAAAATGCACCGCCTACTGACGTCATCTGGCGGCATTTCCCATTTACACACATGTATGTTAGCAGATTAGATCATTTTGTCATAACTCCTTCAAAAATTGCTCAATTTATGAACCAAAGGTATCCTCGTGCTCAGTTCATTCAGGAGTTTCCACTTTGAACATAAAATTCATCAAAATTCAGACATTTGCAATTTCTCCATTGGATCTAAACTTTATGAAAATTTCAAATTAAAATATTAACAATTCTACACAAAAATTAGCGTTTTATTGGGAGCAATTCGGCAACGTACAAAGGCTCATGCGGCGTTTTTCCTTAGCACGGCAGTGTAAAGGTACACGTCTCGGAAAAATCTGCATATAATTCGAGAACAGACTGATTCTCACCGGTGCGGTGCGGCGGGCGAGATTGTAAACATGGGATGTCGGGTCGTCGGAGCCCAGCGTGCGCTGCGGTGGCAGCAGAGAGAGGTCTGTTAAACTCGCTTGCTTGGCTCCATGCTAATGCCCGACGCGGCGGTTGACATGAATGTCAGTCAGGTGTAATTTATTTGAGTTAAATCGCCCTGAAGACAGACATTTTTCCTCCTTCCGCGAGAAGCTTCCTAGACCGGAAAACCGGGCCCCGAGACGCCGCCTTGCCAAGTTGAGCCCCGCGTTCAGTCGCGTTTTATATGTGATGCATGTGTCCGTCGCAGGCAAATAGTCAAATCAGGCATTTTGTCAAATGCCTAGGCAAATAGTCAAATATTCTTACTTTCATTGATATTTCGATCATTTACTCTAATTTTAGACAAAATAATTCGTTATTTCTGTAAGAAAAAAATATCTGTAAAAATATGCAGCATACAGTATACACTGGAAAAAAAAACACATTGGATCTAGAGTCCAGACTCTTAAAAAATTTTACAAGAAAAAACACTCTTGATTCAATCGGATTTTTGCTTGAATCAAAGCGGAATCCGCTTAAATTAGGAGGCTTATTTCTTGATTTAAGCTAGATTCCAATTGAATCAAGAGTAATTTTTCTTGTCGATGTTTTTAAGAGTCTGGACACTAGATCCAATGTGTTTTTTTTCCAGTGTAGTATTTCAAGATTTCAAGATTCTGAATGCACGTTTAATACGAAATTTTCAGCACGTCATGAGGCATAGCATTTTTAAAATTTTAACATTTAAATACACCAACGGCATGTAAAAAGGAAGGAACAAGGAGATTTCACGGATTTGCAGAGTTATTCTTCTCAAATTTCAAGGGCGTTCCTAGGCCCTCTGAATGCGTCCCAAAAATTTCAACAAATTGCATGAAATTTGAACAGTTGAAATTTCACGCGAATCAATCTCATGAAATTTTCCAGCTCTGACAGAGGGCCAATAGGAAAGTATGTTATTTGGAACAAAATATTCGTTTGTTTGACATCACCCACGCTTGGTGACGTGGAAGTTCGTGCAACGTGGAGGCATACTTACGTTATCTACACTTGACACTAAGTGCCAGTATTATGATTGTTATTAGCTGTGCGACTTTTGAAGTTAGAAGATATAGAATAAAAAATAAAAAAAAAAAAAAAAAAACATTCATCTTAAAAACTTCAAATGACTTTTGAGATTGAAGAGAGTGTGATTGTGTGAAAGGTGAGCCAATAGAATGTTCCGCGTGGGCGTTTGGATGTTAATGTAATAAAATATTCCAAGTGAAAACCACACCCCGTCAGATGGCTACGGATGGACATGAGTGTTTTTTCTTCTTTGTTTCCTACTGTGATCGACTAGCTTCATACATAAGTGCCCACTTCACAAAATCGTTGTCTTTTCACAATTCACACGGTTG